CCCTAATGATCCTAGCTCCTTGAAATCTTGGTATGTAACCAAGATGTGTCTGGCACTCTAGAATGATCAGACTAGGATTTTATAATTGGAGAGTCTGCAGCATATTGCCAGCATATGAGGAATGTGTCTGAAATAGGCAACACTTATCACATATTTGCGATGTACTAATAGTTCCAAGTAACATACATGCTTAATTTACTTAATCCTCACGTTAACTTTGTGAGGTAGGTAGTTATTACCCCTGTTTTATAAATGAGAAAACTGAGGCATGCCTGGAGTCATATAGGATATAGAAGACCCAGGATTTAAACCCAAGCAGACTGACTGCAGAGTCCAGATTCTTAACCTCCACACGACTGTCCACTTTGTCTTAAGCTGAGTGACTCTCAGGTTCTTTGTGCTCTGCAGCAATTTGTGGTGGGTAGTCAGGCCAAGAGGTGGACTGAGGCTGCACTTCCCATCAAGATGACAGGTTTATTGGAGCTCACAAGAGACTGTGTGGGAAATCTAGAGCTTCCTGGACTGTGACCACACTTCCATCCTCTTCTCTCCCCTTCCCTCTGCACCTCTCCTACTCTTAGGCGCACCCTAGCTGACATTATCATGGAGAAGTTAACTGAGAAGCAGACAGAAGTTGAGACGGTCATGTCCGAGGTGTCAGGCATCCCTATGCCCCAGCTGGACCCCCGGGTCCTGGAGGTCTACAGAGGAGTCCGGGAGGTAAGAGTTAGAATACCCTCACATGGGCTGTGGGTTCCCACCTAAGGTTTTTTGTGCCCACATTCCTCATACACATAAGGCCTGGTTGCCGAGAACAGACTTAAGTCAGAGTGTATGGGTTCAGAGTCCTACTGTGCCACTTAGTAACTTGGTGGCCATGGGTAAATTTCTTAACTCTTTGGTCTCAGTTTCCCTATCTGGAAAATGAGAATAATAGCACCTCCTTATACGGTTGTTGTGAAGATTCATTGAGTGAATATATGCAAAGCTCCAGGACCAGTACCTGGCACCTGGCACTGGCAAGTAGTATATATATTAACAGCGATGATGATTTTACTCCTGCATCCACAGGTGTTATCGAAGTACCGCAGTGGGAAGCTGCCCAAGGCATTTAAGATCATCCCTGCACTCTCCAACTGGGAGCAGATCCTCTATGTCACAGAGCCTGAGGCTTGGACTGCTGCTGCCATGTACCAAGCCACGAGGTAGAGTAGATGGGGGTTAGGGTCACCTTGGGTCTGTAGTAAGGGCTGGGAGTGGAGAGTACAAGTTTTCCCAGCCTTTGCCATTATACTTTAACTTTGTCCCAGGGCTTTCTGTTGTGCTTCTTTGTATCATCACTTCCCCAGCTTTTCTTGTTTCATGTTTTGGGGCCAAGACCCTATTGAGAGTCTCCTGTGATGAGTTTCTAGGGGAGAGGCATATAATTATTGGGCTACAAGCCTGGTCTGTCAGGAGTGGCTCAGAATTCTGTGGCTCCCCAGGCATACTCAGGTCCCTCAAAGAGCAGGAAAGAGAGGATCCATAATAGAGAGTAGAAGGTGAATACTGAAGAGCCATCAGTTTGGGAGTGCTCTGGCTCTCCCAAAGACAGTGTTCACCTGTTTGGATATAACTTGCAGCACCTGCTGTTCCCTTTGATATGACTCAGCTGTTGCATGGGCATAGCTCACACACTCCCACATACACCTCAAATATTTTGCATGCACCATCCACGGTGACATTTAAAGGGCCAACTCCAGACTTTCAGGTGACCTGGGACCTCCCCACTACTCCCCTCAAAACTAGGATTTTCGCCTCTAACCTGAAGGAACGCATGGCCCAGCGCTTCTATAACCTTGTCCTGCTCCCCCGTGTACGAGATGACATTGCTGAATACAAACGACTCAACTTCCACTTGTACATGGCACTCAAGAAGGCGCTGTTCAAGCCTGGAGCCTGGTTTAAAGGTGAGAACCCAGGAGGCGGTTAAGAAAGGTGGGAGCTGGTGCTCCTGCAAGTGAAAGCAGTAAGCCTGACTTGGGAAATGGCTGTTTCTGGGGTAGGTGGGGGTGCTTCCTGCTGGGCCTCCTTTTTCTCACCCTGGGCTCAAAATAACTGCCCCTCTGATCCTCCCCAGGGATCCTGATCCCACTGTGCGAGTCAGGCACCTGTACCCTCCGGGAAGCCATCATCGTGGGTAGCATCATCACCAAATGCTCCATCCCTGTGCTGCACTCCAGGTATAGTGTTGATGGGAGTAGAGGACTAGTCAGTGGATATCCAGATAATACAATCACCAGAACTTGAGGAGTTGATAGGGGGACGGAGTGGAGAAGGAACTAAGAATAGCCCTGGGTTTGTGGCTTGTTTAAGCCAGTAGGTGTATATCATTACCCCACTAACATAAATTGTAAATTCCATGAGAACAGGGTCCCAGTGCATGGAACACAGTAGGTGCTCAGAAATAGTTAATGAATGAAGAGGGAACATGGGAAAAAATGGTCAGGGGTGGAGATGTTGAGATATTTGGACACATTCTAGTTGGATACTGAGATAGGCAGTCTGACCCAGAGCTAGAAATTTGGAAGTAATCAAGGGAATATGTTCAAGACTGCGTAGCTGAGAAGGCCTGAGATGGTGCTCTTAGAAATACCACAGTATAAGGGCTAGCAGAGGAGAAGAGGAGAAAAGCAGAGAGGGAGAAGTAGAATCTCCTCCCCAATATTTCCAACACCGCTAACTCCACCCCCCTTTCCCGCTAGCGCGGCCATGCTGAAAATTGCTGAGATGGAATACAGCGGTGCCAACAGCATCTTCCTGCGACTGCTGCTGGATAAGAAGTACGCGCTGCCCTACCGGGTGCTGGATGCCCTGGTCTTCCACTTCCTGGGGTTCCGGACAGAGAAGCGTAAACTGCCCGTGCTCTGGCACCAGTGCCTCCTGACTTTGGTCCAGCGCTACAAGGCAGACCTGGCCACAGAGCAGAAAGAGGCCCTCTTGGAACTGCTCCGGCTGCAGCCCCACCCACAACTGTCCCTTGAGATCAGGCGTGAGCTTCAGAGCGCAGTACCCAGAGATGTGGAAGATGTTCCCATTACTATGGAGTGAGGAAACAGTCACTCATCCTCATCTGAAGGGTGTGGGAGGACACCAGGTTCCCTCTTGATAACTAAAGGTGACTCTGAGTCTTTACAGCTGAAGATTCAAATTTGAGCAGTAGAGCTCAAGGGCATCTGACTTTGGTACCTGACACGGAGGACTGAGGGCCTGGCTGGCTCCTTCCATTCTAGGCCATCATTTCTGCTCAGTCCTGGAACCTGTTTGACATTCCACACCCCTGCTGGGGCTTGGAATAAGTACTTTCTCTCAGGCTGTTGTGTCAAGTCACTGAGATGCGGATAAAAAGGCAGGTATTTATTGAACTTCTGTGTTACGATGTGATCAATGGAGATCTTTGTTTTCCCTCGTTAGCTGTAGGTAGGGATTATTCTTTCCAGTTCCCGTCTAGAGTGGATTCTTACCAGTTTACGTAGGACACCCCTCCACCCCTTATTCTACAAGTTTGTTTCTCTAGGCTATACCCACCCTGTTAGCCCCTAGGGGGCACATTTGCTGCTTTCTTCCAGGCCTACTTGTGTCCATAAAGTTTTATTGGGACACAGCCATGTCTCTCCATTTACATTTTCTGTGGCTGCTTTGATGCTGCAACAGCAGAGTATGATTCTGTAACCCTTGTTTGCTTTTGAAAATGTGAATTTGTTCTAACCCAATTAACATATTTGGGAACAATTTGATCATAAAGCAAATTTCACATTTATGTGCAATTTTCTCCTGGAGAAACATTAGGTAAAAGCAAAAAACTGCACCCAGCTGAACCAAGCCACATACACAAAGTGCACGCACCTCTGATATGTACCAGCTACCTCAGTTCACCTTGTGGGTTGGGAGCCACACCCACATCTGGTGTTATAACCCCTACCTTCCACATCCTTCCGACCTCTGCTTCCACAAGCAATCTTAAGGTCTTTTTCAAGATAAAGGGCTATGTTTATTGTATTTGTGTTTCTTTACCATGTAATGTATGAAAACTATTTCCATTTTTTCTAACGGGTCACTCATTAAGTTTTTGAGTGTTGTGCCTTAAGTCCCATTTTTCCCATAAGTCCTGTATGTTTTATTAAGTAGTTGTGCATAGTGCTATGATTTTTAGGAATGCCTATGTTCCATTATAAAGCTGACTATATGTGAGGCAGAGAACATATGGCCCACAAAGCCTAAAATATTTAGTCTCTGGTCCTTTACAGAAAAGGCTTGATGACCCCTGCTTGAGAGCATTGATTTCCTACCTTTTTACCTCATGCAGTCTAGCAATGAGCTTTTACCCACACAACCATCCAATCCGAGAAGCCAAAGCCAATTTTATTCCAGAATCTTTATTAAGATAACATGATGGTCCATGATGGTCCTGGGCCACCAGCCTGGATCTTGTGGCCTTAGGAAAGACCTGTGTCAACAGGGCTTGCCTCCCTCTCCAGACAGGGCTCTGTCACCTCTATGTCATCCTTGCTCCATCCCCTGCTAGAGGATGGATGGGGCCGAGAGCCAAAGGGAGAGGAGGGCCTGGCCCCTCCCCAGGCTGTAGCAGCTCCTCTGCCACAAAGATCCTCTAGCCAGCAGCAGAGGGGAGGGATACAGCAACCACCAGGGTTACCACCAGTTGTGGGGTAGGTGAGCCCCACCACGCCCTCTTACAGTTGTACTCAAAGCAATTAATAAATTAAAACCACCTCTTCCTTCAGCACTGACCCCCCGCCCCCTCAATCACACAGGAGAAGCTGAGCAGAAAGCAAAGCAAAGAGGAATTGGTTGGTGCTTGAACCTCTGACAGAGGCCTGGGCCTGTCCCTCTAGGAGCAGCTGTGAACGTGGATTACACAGGACCCTCCAAAGTGTGCTGAAAGGAGCTGTCCAGACTATGTTGCCTCAGGATGTCTGAAATTTCTTCAGAAAGGCCCCCAATCCAAACGAAGTAACTAGGAGGTACAGCACCCTTATAAGGCACCAGGGCATTTTGGCAGTTGAGAACATGAGTACCCCAGAGATAAGGTGGCCTCAAAAAGGAAGGCCGGTACATGTATTTCACCTACTTCAATGTCATCTCTGACCAGCCTGGCCCACCCCCAGCTAGAATTGGAATGAGCTGAGATGGTCAGAGACAGGAGGAAGAGGAGCCTGACTAGCCACCCAAACATGGCTAGCCAGGCCCCTTAGTGCATGCTAAGGTAGGGGTAGGTAGGACCTAGCCCCTTCGGCTTGGCAAGGGACAAATAGGAAGGAGCCCCCTCAGGCTTCAGCTGTAGCGTGGTTCATTCCTGTGGTAGGGGTTCCCCTCCTCCACTGTCTGTGGCCACTCCAGGGGGCCTCTCCAGGGCTACAGATGGATTGCTGTGACGTCTGTGGGAGTGCTGGTCTGGCTGGGCCCCTGGCTGCTGGAGCCCCTGGGGGCTTTGGGTGCTGGGCTGGGGGAGGTCTGGGCGGCTTCCCTGAGGCTCTCCCTAAGTGCAGCTTCAATCTGCTCCTGACAGGCCCGCAGGCAGTCCTGGGAACATGGGGGAAACAGTGAGGAAGGAAGTGCTAGGTGGAATGGAGTAAGGTCCCCTTGGAGCTAAAGGCCGCTTCCCTCCCCCGAGACCATTTGGCAGCAGGTGCAGGGAACGGACACCTTCCAGCACACAGGGAAGTCTGGGGAGGTTAGGCCACAGCCCAGCCCCAGGAATCAGCCTTTAATTCTCAGAAACTGCCAAGAGGATGTGGCAAGAGGGTGTGAGAGCAGCCCTGCATCTGACACCAAACCCCCACCCCCACTCCTGCACACCTTTTGGCAGAAAAGGGCACCCAGGGATGATGCCCTGCGACTCATCAAGACCACTTGCTCTGGTCCAGACCAAGGCAGGATATAAAAAGCCACAGAAGCCCCAAGGGCAGAACATGTGAAACCAGGCTTGGGGACCAGGTTGGAGATGGATGCCTCCCTCTGCTGGAAGCTCAGGGAATAGCGCTGCTTCATGAATTGACAGCCTGCTGCCCAGCTGCCTAAGCACTCACCACTTCAGTGCCTGTGATGCCTGCCAGCAGCTCTGTGAGCTCATCTCCGGATATGGAGCATGCACCCAGGCCTTGTACTGCAGCCCCAATACTGCCTGTGGCAATCATGGATGGTGGGTACATGGCAAAGGTGTAA